GAAATATTCGTAGCACTTATTTTATGGTACGGCTTTTTCGGGGGCCAGTCACCAGGTATTTATTAGTTAGTGCGGGTGTGTGTGTTTGAAATTTTTTGTTTTTTTTCTTTTGCCACCCCGTGGGGGAGGTGCGCGTACATTGAACACGCCAATTTTTGTAGTAGAGCTTAGACTTTCTTTTTTTTTTTCGTAGTGCATGGCTCGAGTTTAGTAATTATCGAGTATAGGGACAATTGGTGTCAGAAAGACATGGTTAAAAAGACTGTAAAGTGTTCAGGATGTGGAGTGGGTTTGAAAGTGGACCCAAGCGTAGAAGCGGATGGAGAAGAGGCTGATGCGAAGTGTAGGCAATGTGAGGTCGAGGAAAAAATGGAGAAAATGATGGTTGCCCAAAGTGAACTGCTGGTGAGAATCGACTAACTCGAGACTGCGTTGGCGACAGAGCAAAAGAAAACGAGGGCAATGGGAGAAAGACTGAAGTCCACCGAGGAAGGAGTAGCGAAGCTGAACAAAGAAGCGGCCTACGGAGAGAACAGTAGAGAACCCGCAACCAGAACAGTGGAGAAGGAAGAGCAAGCAAGTTTGGAAAAAGCAGGTTTAGCCGGTTCAACTGTCGCAAGGCCCAGCTTCAGCGAGGTAGTGGTGGGGCTGGGAGGGGACAAAGCAGCCGGCGTCACAGGTGCAAGTAACCCCCAGGTGCAGGATGCTCCAGCTGAAAAGTCACAGCATGTGATAATCGCCGGGGATTCGAATTTAAATCGATGCACAGAAGCCATCAAAGAGAGGTTACGAGGTGACAAGAGGGTTGCAGTAGGGGCGTTCCCAGGACGCAAGCTAAAAGCAGTCATGAGGCAAGCAAGCGCAAAACTCAAAACTAAAGCTGATAGACGAAACCTAGTGATAATTTCAGGTGGTGTAAACGATGTCTTAAATGATGATACAGCAGGACTAGCAGCCACACCGGCGAAAGGCGTCGATGACATGCGCGCCACTTCTCTTAAGGTACAGGTAGTGATATGCACGATACCAGAGGTACCGGTGCGTGATAGCAACCTGCAAAGAGCGGTTGTCAACGCAAACCAAGAGATATGGCGGATGAGTCGAGAGAAAGGCTTTGAGGTGGTGGAAATAAACAGAGAGGTGCATAGGTGAGGTGGTTTTCAACGAGACAGAATTCACTTCGATGGGCGACTAGGTCATGAGGTGGGTTGGCGACTTGCAGGACGCGCAGTAGCTTTTTTGGGGGGCAAGCGAGCCCTTCGGGGTGCAGGATAGCTAGTAATGAGGAAAACAACCAGGGAGACTCTTCGACAGGTGTTATGGACAGATACGATTCCAAAGTAGCACCAATGTCTAAGATAGGTAGAGTCCGGGGCATAAATAGACGTAGCCACGAGCGCCGAGCCCATTCAGACATAGGGTATATTAACATGCAGGGTGGTGGGAACAGGCTGAAGTGGGAAGAGATAGAAGAACAGCTAAGGGAAGAGAGGCCGATGGTATACGGTTTTGTAGAAACACATCTCAGGGACATGGAACAACCTCCGAACAATCCGGACTACGCGTGGGAATATTGTAATAGAACAGAAGGCAGCAGAAAGGGGGGTGGTATTGGGGCATTAATTCATAAAAGTACAGACTGGCAAAGGGTCAAGCAGGAGTGCAAGGAACATTTATGGCTAAAAGGGAAAGTGGCAGGTCAAATGACACTCCTTGGTTTCGTGTACTTGTGGACGGGAGCAAAGGCCAGAGAGGAAAACCAGGCAATGGTAGAGTGTATATCAAAGGACATTCAGGAGTTAGGAAGAGAGTGCGAGATAATTATACTAGCAGACATGAATGCGCACATAGAAGATATAGATGGGTATACCGACCCGACAGGCAAAATGATCATGGATATGTGTGAAAGGCATGATTTGATCATTTGCAACAGCACCGAGAAGTGTGAAGGGCAAATAACATGGGAGGTAGGACGGCTGCAGCCGACGATAGATTATGCACTGATGTCACATAGGATGTATGATAAGCTGAGGGGAATGCACATAGATGAAGGTGGCTCCAGAAGTCTGCGTAGTGATCACAAACGTATCAAGCTAGGTTTTGGAAGAGCAGTGAAAGTGGGAAGGAGACAAGATTAGCAACTACAGGAAAATTTTTATTCAGAAAGGCAAATATAAATAGCCACTAAACAAATTTAGAAAGTAATCACGTAGGATAATAAGACAGTGTGGACATACACGAATCTAATTAGACTCTTTGAGCTAGAGCTTGCTAAGACGCGTAACAAGTCACCCCGGAAATGAAGACACAAACCCAAAAGTTGGTGGGATGAGGAAGTTAAGAGAGAAATAGCAAAACGTCAGGAAGCCTCTAGGGAACACAGACATGCTAAGCAGCGGCGTGAAGCAGACAGATGATGTTGAAAGAACATGGGAAACCTTTCTAAGCTGTAGAAGAGCTGCATCCCTTCTGATCAATGAAAAGATTAGAAGAAAGGGAGCTCAGTGGCTGGTAGAAGTACATAAAAAAGATAGAAAGGCAGCTGCGAAATTTCGGAACCATCTAAACTCCCTAAGAAATGAGACGAGCCTAGAGCAGAGTTTTATAACTACAGCCCAAGGTGCCAGGCTAGAAGGGGACGAAGCTATTGAATATGTAAGAACAAGGGTAACAGAAAAATTTCAACAAAGAAGTACTTTACGCACCACAATAGACAAGGACGAATCAAGTGGTGCAATGGCTCTATTTTCACAACGAGAGTGGGGAAGGGCTGAGAAAAGGGATCCTAGTAGTACATCAACAGGCCCAGATGGCATTCCAATTAGGATGATAAAGACATTAGGTCTGAAGTCTGAGCAGGCTTTGAGAGAGGCAGTGAGCAAAGTAATAATCGATGGTGAAGTTCCCGATGGATGGAAACCTAGCAGGATGAGCATGATCTATAAAGGAAAGGGGGACAAAGCTGACATAAACAACTACCGTCCTATAACAGTGACATCAGTGGTCTACAGGTTGGTGATGCACATTATAAAGGAAAGACTGCAGGCATGGATAGAAGATGAGGGGGTGCTGGGGGAACTGCAGAATGGGTTTCGGAAACACAGGAGGTTGGAAGACAATCTGTTCTCACTGACGCAGTGCATCGAAATAGCAGAAAAGGAACACAGGCCCCTGTGGCTAGCATTCTTGGATATCAAGAGAGCGTACAATAGCGTGGTTCAAGAGGAATTGTGGGGAATACTGGACACACTTGGCGTGGAACATGTAGTCACTAATCTTTTAAAGGGTATCTATAAAGGTAACTAGGTAGTTATAAAGTGGGAAAAACAGGTATCCAAGCATGCAGAGGTAAAACGGGGGCTTGGGCAGGGGTGCCCCCTGTCACCCTTATTATTCATGATGTACCTGCAACGATTAGAGGCAAAAATAGAGGGAAGTGGTCTGGGCTTCATCCTCTCTTTAGTCAAACAAGGAAAACTTATTGATCAGGCACTACCAGCATTAATGTACGCAGATGATATAGTGCTAATGGCCAACAACAAGGAAGATTTGCAGAGATTGATGGACATCTGCGGTAATGAGAGAGATAGGTTAGATTTTAGATTCAGTAAGGAAAAATCAGCAGTCATGATTTTCAATGACAACGAAGGTAGTGAGCTTAGGATACAGGAGGTCACGCTAGAGATAACAGATAAATACAAATATCTGGGCGTATGGATAAGCAATGGGACCGAGTACCTGAGGGAACACGAAATATACGTGACGACTAAAGGTAACAGGAAAGCAGCAGTGATGAAAAATAGGGCACTGTTGAATTACAATAGGTATGATGTTGTGAGAGGAATATGGAAAGGAGTCATGGTTCCTGGGCTGACGTTCGGCAATGCGGTCTTTTGCATGAGATCAGAAGTTCAAGCAAGATCAGAAATTAAACAACGTGGAATAGGTAGGCTTGCTTTAGGAGCTCACGGGAATACACCAAATCAGGGCGTACAAGGTGATATGGGATGGACATCATTTGAGGGCAGGGAAACTAGCAGCAAGATAAAATTTGAGAAGCGATTGAGAGAAATGAAGGGGGAGCGTTGGGCTAGGAAGGTTTTCAGCTACTTGTACATGAAGAATGTCGATACAGAATGGAGGAAGCGAACCAGGAAGTTGACTGGTAAATACTCAGAAAACAGCAGGTGGCGAAACCAAAAAGAACTATCGGTTAAGAAGAAAGCGAAGGAAACGGAGACTGGCATGTGGAAAATGGGCATGATTAAGAAACCCGCACTAGAGATCTATCGAACTTTTAAGCAGGAAATTGCCAAGGAAAGGATCTATGATAATACTCGGGGTAGTTCTCTACTGTTTGAGGCAAGGACGGGAGTACTGCGAACCAAGACATATCGGGCCAGATACGAAGGGGTGGACACAGTTTGCAGTGCGTGCGGAGAGGAAAAAGAAACTGCCGAACACTTGATAATGTTTTTTAAAGGGCTTCACTCTATAGTTCAGGATGATGGTGCAGAGTTTTTCAAAGCACTGGCGTTTTGGGACCGGGAAGGCAAAACAGACTTTAAGCAAGTTGACTTAACTAGAAGGAGGTTATCTGATTGGTGGCTAAAGTCAAGGCACGAGTGAAAATTAAACTCTTCACTGCAAAGTACGATTCCTCAAACTCACTTTCTAAGGAAAAAAAAATAAATATAATTTTGGGTTTATTTAGTATGACGGCTTGAAGGCGCTAGCCACCGCCCGATCTTAAGGGTACAACCATACTCATTTATCTATTTATCTATTATCACGGCAGCGGGCGATAATACAGCTAGGGCGTTTTTCATCTGCGGCCCATAGGGGCGCGTCCATCGAGAGTTGTTTGAGACCTGCAACTGTGCACCACTGTTTCAGAGGCTATGCAAAGTCTTGCGTTGTTGCACCGTCCGCCACAGGTGACGTTAGCGACCGAGAATACTTTCAATTGAAAGAGAGAAAGGGTGTGGCAGCTGTTTTTTTTTCTCATGCGGCAGGCATCCTCCTAGAGGAGGCGTTGCCCAAAGGTACAGGTACAGTTTTGCGTTCTCTAATTTGGTAGGTGTTCTGTGAGTCCACTGCTGCGGTGTAGTGTGCGGGTGGTAGTAGTAGTCGGATCTTCGCTCCTGCGCTGTCAACGCGGATTCTGTAATGCTCATCGCCACGGGTCTTCTGGTCGAGTTTATCTTGGCGCTTCTCATCACACTCACCGAAGGCGTCACTTGGAACGAGTTGAAGGTGAGTGTTCACTATTCGAACTGATCTCATCTTGATCGTACCGATGCCTGCTCGGCATGTCACTTCGTGTTTACGCTGCCTCCACTTTCGGTTTTCTGTTCCGTTACCGCGACGCTCATATCCTTAAGCAAGTTTAAAATGCGGGGCATTTCTTAGTAGCACCATAACACTCGTCGTCGGCGTCCCCCCACTGTGCATGCTTGCGCCTTGCGTATCGTGCCGCACGCTTGCGTCTCGTGCCAACTATTTGCTCCCCCTTCTCTCGCCTCGCAAGAACGACGGAGTCGGCGTCTGCTAGTAAAAAACAGGCTGCTCGAGCTGCACAACCGTTCACTGGCCACTGGATCGCACATCAGCGTGCCACCACTCGTTGAACGGAACGCTTCTCCTTCATTCCTTAAATAAGAATAAGAAAGACAAACAATTATGTATTTCCAAACCCTCTCTCGCCTTGCAAGACTGACGCAGGCAGCCTCTGCTAGTAAAAAGCTGCACAACCGTTCACTGGCCACCCCGTATATGTAGGCACTATATCGCTTATCAGCATCCCATCACTCGTTGAAGGCAACACTTCTCCTCCATTCAATAAATAAGAATAATAAAGACGAAATAGCCATTAAGCATTCCCTAACCATACCCAGTTACGCGCAACATTTACGTGATTCCCCCCTCCCCACTCTGCGACGCATCCGGAAGATGCGGGAGGCATTTTTTTTTGTGATATTTAACTGTTCGAGTACTTCTCTGAAATTGTTTCTTGACGTTTCAATTGCTTCCTATTGACAAACCTTCCCGTTCGCATGCTTTTTCCAATTCTAGCGTGAGAGCGTTTTGTGAATGCGCCTGTCCAACTCGCCGAGTCAGCAGTACTTGCCATCCAATTGATTCATTTTGGGACACGTTCGTTCTGTAACTCAGCAAACGACCCAGCCAACCATGTAATGTCCAGTAGACATCAAATAAATATCAACCATATGATATTTTTATCTTCAATAAATGTCCACAAAGGTTAATTTAATATTTATACAATATCTAGAGGATGTCCATTTTGAACTGAGTGGACCTTCATATAATGTCCACATCAGTTTCACACACAATATTGATATAATATTCGGCAATATTAATACAATATTTAGAGGATGTTCATTTTGACGAGAGTCAACATCCATAGATTGTCCACAGCAGTTCTACAATAACATTGATATATCAAATGACACTTATTTTCAGGTGCAGCAATGCAGATATGCATACTATGTGGGGTTTTACGTCCCAAAACCACAATACAAATGAGAAACAATGTAGTGGAGGGCTCTGGAAATTTTAACCATGTGGTGTTCTTCAACGTGCACTGACACTGAATAGTACACGTACCTCTACAATCACGCCTCCATCAAAATGTGACCGCCGCAGCCGGCATTGAACCCGTGACCTTTGGGTTAGGAGTTGAGCACCTTAGCCACTGTTCCACTGAGGCGGACAGACGTGCATGCAATTGCACCGTATGCTACAAAATAGTGAGACTGTTAACTCGGTATGGTTGCCTTTAGTTAAATTTATTGCATCAAATTCAGCAAAGGTCTTGGATGATCTGTCATAGTGATGGCAGTGGTCAGTCAGTCAGGGCACTGGTAGCCTGCAAATATGTGCATGTGTATAAACACCAGTGTTGACACAGCTAAGGAAAACTTGAACCTCAACGAGCAGTGTATGAAGCACGTTTCAGAGTGTAATCTGGACTTTGAAAAATTACCTCAACAGCATTACAAATGCAATGACAGCAGTTCCAATAATGAGTGTCACCACATATGGGTATTTAGCCTAAACATTCTAAACATGTTGTTTAGAAACCAATGAATTGCACCAGCAGAGCATAATGATGAAGAAATTAGGTTCTCTAGTTGTAATAGTTACCAGACATTAAATGCATATTCTAAAGGGTGAAAAGCACGCATATTGTTTTATGTGTACACATTTATGTGTGCATGAATACAGCCTTGCTTGATTACATTATACATTCACAATGCAAGATTATGCACGAATTAGTAGTCTCTTTTACCATAGTGTTTAATCTATTATTACAGGGTAGCCAGCCGGTCTGAAAAGTGGCTAACCTTCCTATCCTTCTTTTCTTCCTATTAATGTGCAATTTCAACATCAAGGCCACTTCAGTGATTAACAATAAGTTATAGAGTAAACTTTCGTAATTAATCCAGACACTGCATGCAGGACAGAGACAAGAGAGTCCATAAACACAGTGATGTGCCTCTCTTGTCTCTGTCCTGCGTGCAGTGTCTGGATTAATTAGAAATAACCAAGCCCAAGCTACCCTTGTACATTTTCAGTTGCTGTAACTGCTAGCCTTTCTATATGCAAGAGCAGTGCACAACTTGCCGAGAGTAATAGCAGCTTAAATTGCACTTCAGCTTTCAACTACATCTACAGCACTGCTTGCAGCTCGTACAGAGGGCAACATGTTGGTCTAGAGCGCCAGAGTGTCCAGCTCTGCACTGCATGGTTCACATCTACAGACAACACGAAGATTGATATAGGCTACATGCAAGCTTGGGCAACCCCCAATGAAGAGCCTTTTTTGGGATGCGGATGCAACTGTTTTGGCTGTGAGAAATGCTGTCTGAACTAGCACAGAAAAATCAAACAGCGGCGAATCGTCCTGGTTAGCTTCCGAATAATTTGAGCTATGTTGCATAACTTTCTGTTAGCAGTGTGATCATTCCCACAGCCTGTCGCAGACAAATCTTGCACAATATTCTCTGTTCTGTTCTATGTACTACCAAGAGCGCTTCTGACCGCTTTTGACGTCCAAAACACTTGATGCAGCTCCAGTGACAAACAAAGAAAACGCAAGGAATGCACGTCATTGGGACTACGGGCATGATTAGATGTGGCCTATATGCTCAGCTGCAGCCCTGAGCGCGACGCTTTGCCGTTTCGACATGCATGCTACAAACAGTGTACGCGAGTTAACATAATATTGGAGAGGTTGAAGTGAAAAAAAAAAAAAAAGACACATCTCTACTCAAAAGTGATCACAAACACACATGTGTGAAAAACACAGATGTGTTTACGAACCGCCAATATAGACAAATTTTAACTTACAGAAAAGGCCTTTCACTTTCATGACTTAAAAACCTGAAGTGCTAAAAGGTAACAACGGTCTAAGGAAACAACGAGGACAAGCGTTAACTTCCAACTAAAATTTTATTGCAAAGCAGTAAGAACCTGACACATAGATCACAATCAAATCAATCAATGCACAAAGATAAAATCAATCAATACATAAAGAAAAAGTGAAAACTAAGCAGCAGTCAAATTACAAAAAAAAAAATCATGTGTCGGTGAGTTCAAGTGATCTAGTTTTTTTTCTTCTTGAAATTTTTGCGTAAGCACCAGGGTACACAGAAAGGAAGACAAACGGGCGTAATCTAACAACTGGTTTATTTTTAGAAGAACATTCACTTTATACCCCTCAGATCTGCGCTCTCTGGTCACAAAAAAAAAAAATAGAACAAATGCACTGCACACATATCACAAATAATGATAACAAGTTATTTATTTTTTATTTATTTACAGATACTGCAATCACCATTTGGTGATTTTAGCAGGGTGGTACATGAAGTTAGTCATGAACAAATGGCAAGTACAATGACATATAATATATACAGGTTATACAATGTGTATAGGGCAAATACAAACTTCAACTGGCAATAACATACAATAAAAAATAGGAGACTACAATTATACAAGCATGTACAGTGATATGTAATGCTATTTAACAATTCAACTGGTTAGTGCATTTTCTAATTCCGAGGAAAACAATGCCAATGAGGGTGCTGAAACAATTGCATTAGTTTGTTCCACTCGACTATGGTGCGAGGAAAAAATGAATACTTAAAGCAATTATTGCGTGTGGGAAAGGGGGTTATGGTGAGGTCATGTCTCTGCCTGGTAGAGTAGCCAGAAGAAAAAGAAAAAATATCGGCTATGTCTACTTGATATTGGCCGTTAATTAGTTGGTACAGAAACTTAAGCCTTGAGTTACGGTATCTTAATGATAAAGATGAAAGTTGAGCTCTGCTTAATAGGTCAGTAACAGAAGTCCTCGAAAAATTATTGTAGACAAAACGAACTGCTCTTTTTTGCACTTTTTCTAATTTGTTAATGTTAGTCTTAGTAAAAGGATCCCATATAATATAAGTTCATTGATTACGAGGCATGACCGAAATTTCTTTCTCTAGTAAGGCTACCGAAGGGTGGCTAACACACTTTCGCATAGCATAAAAAAGGTGGCCAGAAAGTAGGATGTTAAGGGGGTGTTTTCGGCCAAAAACTAAATAGGAGGAGTGTGCGCGTTGTTCAACCAAAAATGTAACAGAGTGACCAGCACACATAAGGAATGCAGCATTCAACATAAACTCAAGTTTGTTGAATGTGCACACAATGTGGTGTATTGCATACCTTTGTCGTGTGCTTGTGTATATATAGGGCAGACTGGCAGGTGCATTAACACGAGGCTAAGGGAGCATATGTCAAATCTGAAACGTCGCCCAAACACCCATTTGACAATGCATTGCAATAAGTGCGTGTGCTCTCCTTGTTTTCGCGACTCTACTTTGGTATATAGGAATTGAAACAAGACGTCAAGAGAGATAATGGAGGCTTATCTTATAGACAAGCAGAAGGACAAGTGTTTAGCCACCCTTTGGCAGCCTTACTAGAGAAAGAAATTTCGCTCATGTCTGTTAATCATTGAACTTGTTATCGTTATTTTCAGTATCTGTGCAGTGCATTTATTGTTTTTTTTTTTGGTGACCAGAGAGCCCAGATCCGAGGAGTATAAAGGGAATGTTTTTCAAAAAATAAACCAGTTGTTAGATTGCACCCATTTGTCTTTCTGTTTCCCTGTGTGCTTGTACAAAAATTTCAAGATGACTATATTCCAACTAGGCTGAATCGCGGTTTTGCTTCTTTTTTCTGTTGGT